AAAACTATGCGCGAATACTCGAGTCAAATCTTCTCCAAAAGTTCTCCTTTGCACTCAGTAGCTGCTGTGCCCAGAGCAGCGATCACCGCCTTGCAGGTATCCTCACAAATCAAGACAGTGCCAGTGGGGAAAGCAGTCCCCAGCACCTCAGCCCCAGTATCAGCTTGGAAGAGTCTAGGTCCTGAAGCCCACGAACACATAGCAGGTCTAATCAACTCTGAGGTGTCCCAATCAGAAATTTCCCCTTATCTAAAGGACCCTCGAATTGCATGGATCCCCAAGCCGGGCAAGCCAGCCACCGCCATGAAAAACCTGAGGCCCATAGGAGTCATCAGCGTGCCAGGCAAAGTGCTAGCAGGCGCAGTGAAGACTCGCATTGCACCAGCACTGCAGGTGAGCTCACAGCTTCAGCCTCAATTTGCGTACATCCGGCAGAGGGGGGTGCGGGACGCTATCGCGAAAGCATGTCAGCACCTTGATTTCGCGCAGCAGCTCCGTCAAGAGCATCGCAGGGACCTGCACAGGTCCCAACGCGGAGCCAGGCAGGCTCAGCTGTCAGGGGCACTTACTATTTCGGTTGATCTGAGCAAAGCTTTTGATTCTGTTAATAGACATGAGCTGCTAGCTGCCTTGGATCGCCTGGGAACAGACCCTGTTACGAAAGAACTGGTAGTTCAACTACACAGTGAGACCTCCTACAACATGGGCACAAGTGGACTAGAGATTCAAGTTCCCACTTCTTCAGGAATCAAACAAGGTTGCAAGCTAGCCCCGGCATTGTGGTCTGCGCTGACACTTCTAGTCATGAGCAGAATGGAGCAGAAATGGGGCCCAGATAGCAAGCAAGCTAGGGACATCCTAACGGTCTTTGCAGACGATTTCCTGCTCCAGGAAACCTTCTCGAGCTTTCCTGAACTTCAGAAAGTCCTGCTCAGAATAGAGGCTCTCTTTCAGTCTCTTGAGGACGTGGGGCTGGAAGTCAATCCAACGAAGTCCAAAGCCTTGCTAATGGTTCAGGGCACTCAGCAGTCCATCTTTCGCAAGAAGCACACGATGCGCAAAGAGAAGCAGTTGCACATCGTCCTTCCCTCAGGACATAAGATTCCGATTCATCACAAACTAACATATCTAGGGGTGCAGCTCAGCTATGGATCCTACAAAGACCAGACTGTTGACTATAGGATCGCCCAAGCTCAAGGCAAGTTTGAGCTACTTCGACACATCCTGTGCTCCACTAAGGCCTTGGAGGCTTCAAAGAAGTTGGAGATCTGGAGGGTCTATGTGGAATCCTCACTCTTGCATGGGCTTGTGGCCACTGGCATCACCTCATCAGGTCTTCAGAAGCTTCAGAGTAAATACTCGAGGATGCTAAGATCCATCTTTAAGCAACATCAGCACTACAGCCATATTGACACGAAGACTCTGTTCGAGCAATATAAGGTTCAGACTCCTCAAGCAGTTTTGATCAGCCAGATGAAAAACTATCAAGACGCACTAGATGCCTGTCAGAAGTACAACCCGGATCAGAACATACAGTGGTATCTGGGACTTAGAGGTAGGATTGTTGCGCTGCAACAGGAGCTTCAGAGCATGCATTTGGACCTGACCGAGGCAGACCAGGAGGTACCGTGCTCTCTGTGCGATCGGAAATTTTCCAGCGCTAAGGGTCTTCAGCAACATACTCTGGTGAAGCATGGAGGACAGCGTGCGAATCAGCTAGGCCCAAAATTTCAGGTCACTGTGCATAGCTGCAAAGGACTTCCGCAATGTGCGGCATGCAACAGGCAGTTGCGCACAATGCATCAACTTCGCAGACATGTGGAGTCAGGCATTTGCCCTCAGCTGCACGAGCTGAAAGAACGAGCCAAATCCTGTACAAGCTCAGAAAGCATAGCTATGATCTATCAGTCTAGCGTGCAGGAACAACTTAAGAAGGATCCTGATCTTCTACTAAAAAGAGACATGTCACTCAGCATCTATTAACGAACTGCAGTCTCTGTGGGCAATACATTGTTGGCCACAAAGGAGTGAAACAGCACATTCAGAAAGCTCATCCCGCTTTCTGGGCACAATCCTCGGCATCCATTCTTGCCAACATGCGAACACATAAGCGCCTCCTGCACAAAAAAGAAGAATGTAGGTATTGTCGCATTGTGGTAGATGCTCCAGTACGCCATGCAGAGCAATGTGTGGTTCTGCTACAGACATACGCCATGAGTGCAGCTTGTGCCAAGCCTATGGAACTGCCAGATCTCTTCAGTGCAGATCCTCCAATTAGCCAGGTGAGAGGCAGGGAGGCTTCCTCCCAGGAGGCTTCCTCCAGCAGCCGAGCTTCTTTGCTGACATACACTGCACGCGTCTCGGGTCGTTCAACCACTGCACCTCCCACAGCTTCCATGCAAGACGCTGCCTGGCGTCTAGCTTATCATAATCCGCATCAACTGTGCTATGCACACACGGTCGTTCATATCCTTATCTCTCTCTCTCTCTTGTCAGACGGACTGTTCCCAGATCCTTCTTTAAATTCCATCCTAACGGAAATAGGTTCCCTGAATGGCAGATCCTCTCATGCGGATGTTCGGAGGTTGCGACATCTTCGTCCGCTGCTAGCAGGATGGCGATTACGACCCAGGCAGGAGGATGCATCTCAATTCCTGTTGCATATCTCTCAGCGTATTCCAGATCTTTCATCAGATAAATGGGAGGCGCGAGTTCATATCTCAGCACCGGAGGAACGCATAAGTGTTGAGGAAAAAGGTGGCTTGATTCTGTATCTACCCGAGCCGCCGGATGGACTCTCGACTCTTCAGCAATCAGTAACACAATGGACGAACAGGGGTAGTGTGTTTGCCTTGCTTCCAGATACAAGTCTCATTTGCTTACAAATTCAAAGATTTGATCAGCAAATCAAAACTTCCCGCCCACAAGCGCTGGACACAGTTCTTGAGATGCCAATGTTTCAAGATAACGGAACCTCAACAGAAGCAGTGTCCTTTAGCCTCTATGCATTTATTATTCATATCGGCGAAGACTGGAACTCTGGACATTACAGAGCGGGATTTTGGAGAGAGAGCGTAGCGTACCTAGCTGATGATAGTGAATCGCCAAGACGCACCACGCTCCTCTCGGATCAAATATGTCGAGGTTCTTACTTGGCCTTCTATGTAAGAGTATAGATTCAGCTAGGTAGCCATGAGGCAGGCCTTTGCACAATCGTCAGCACCCTCCAAGTCCAAGCGTGCGGATGAGCCAGATGAAGATGATTCTCCAACCAAGAAGATCAGACAGGCTGAACCGAAGAACATGCCAAAGCAGAAAGCCAAAGGAAGGGGTCGGGGCACTGGCCGAGGCGTTTCAAATGAGAAAGTCCTACAGTCCCTAACCAGGCTGTCCATCAACCATGAGGACTCGCTGAATACACTTCAGCAGGAACTGAGCTGGGTCATGTACCTGACCACCGGTGAGTTGTCCATTCTACCGAACATCTATGCGGAGAAGTCCAAAGACGCTTCGAAGTTGTCTACTCCATTCAGAACTCGAGCCATGAGATTGGTCTTGGAGCAGACCTTAGAAAGAGTAGAGCAGATTCAGACTAAAGAAGAAGTGCTAGTGGATGCGGAGAAAGAGGGTTGGGTGGTACGTGTGAAGGACACCGAAGATCCAGCCTTTGTCTATCAGCAGTGGAGCAGTGAGCAAGACAAGACGGTGCATGACACTGCCCGAAAGGCAGTCCCCGCAGAGGACGTCGTTCAATTGCTCAAAACGTGCTTGGAGGAGCTCGCGCAGCACCCACAGTTGATCTCCAGGCTCATGCCCTCACGTCCGATCGCTGAGAAGATGACAGGTGGCCCAGTTCGAGTTCACATCCAGGTCCAACTCCAACATCTCAAAGGTAAGTTCCATCAAGCCCTGTCCGGACTCACGGACAATGCAGTCTGGGCGGCCATTGAAGGCTCACTAAGGCCAGGGAGCGTTCAGCGTAGTCCGGCAGCTAAGTCGCTTGCAAAGCAGGCATCCGGAAGCAGCTAGCACATAGAGCACCTTCAGCTAGAGAAGATCCTTCCACATAGAGGCAAAAAAATTCTGCATTGCCTTCAATAAGCGCAGGATTGTCTCTCAGCTTGCCTTCCTCTCCCAGCAGCATCTGTATTTCTCCTATCACAGCAGATTTTCTTGCTCGCGCAATCAATCCCATAGCTGGTTAGTAGAGAGCCAATGTCATACCGAGCTGAACGCATGTATGCCAGAGAGGGCTGGATCTTCACGGAGGCAGATCGAGTGGCACTTTGGGAGCTGGATACTGCGCTAAGTAAAGCCCAGAAGCTTATAGATGCTCAAGCTCACCTCATCGAGGAAATGCAACGGGATCAGGTCAGACTACATGGGCAAGTCCGGCAACTGAATGCAGAGGTGACTCAGCTCGCTCAGAGTGCACAGATCTATGGTGCTCACATCGAGCGTCTCTAACGTCTGTCCGACACCCAAGCTCTCTCTGAACGGATGGACTACTTGACCTGGACTCTTCATTACCAAGGCATCAGAGTCATGCTACCAGGACCATCGTCAAGCAGTGTGAGGCCAAGAGCACAACGGCGGCCTGCTCAGAATCCGTACTAGTACATAGCTTCCTAGATGGTCTGAATTAGAATCAGTCCTCGTGTGAGATGTCTTCAGCACCAGGGAGTCAAAAGCCTCTGCCATCACTGCATCATAGCCCTGCCTGTATGCGCGCACCCGCATTGCATAGCTCGGGAGGCTTCCTCCGGAGGCTTCCTCCATGCTACGGTCGGCGGCCTACGTGTGTCAGAATTACAGCAAGTGCAATCACTCACCCTCTGAGTAGCAACCACTCCTTCCTTCTTTGGATCTTTCTCCCCTGACCGGGTTCTCTTGCAGGTAGGAGGATTTGAGAATAGCTTTCTCCTCTGTAGGGACACCCACCAATTTGACCCAATGCAATGCCGAAGCTTCTCTCAAGCCAATAGGATCAGGCCCTCAACATGGAACGTGACTTGACGAATGCTGAGTTTGAGGCTTTAAATAGAAGGCGAGCGCAACAAGGCAAGGAGCCACTGAGCTGGCGGGACGCACAGCGCCAGGCCCGGCGTAAGCCGAACCACAACAGAGGAGGCAAGAAGGCCAAAGCAGCTCCGTCCTCACAGCCTGTCACTTTCCTGCCGAGAGCGGAGGTTTCCTCCGCGGAGGTTTCCTCCGAAAGAACTCCAGAACAAGCTGAATCCATTTCCTTTCTGGTTCCTGATTTTGATCAGAGGGCCAGTGGGCAGGCATCAGACTGGAACACCAGCACTCATGTCCAGAGCCGCTATGCATGGAACAAGCGTCACAAGGAGCGTGAACAACTGGATCCGACTAAGGATGTCATGGAGGAGGCCAAAATATTTATCCGCACATTTCTTAGAACGCGTAAAGGTCCGAGCAACTCAGATTTGACTGCAAAGTTGGGAGATCCTGTCATGCAGGAAGACTGGGTGCGCTTCCCCCTAAGAGATGTTGTTCAGAGACGCACCGGCACGGATGACAGAGTGGGCTATCATGGGACAAAATTGGAATCGCTCTACTCGATCCTGTATTTAGGAAAGTTGCAACCGTCGCAGGATTCCTCCCAAGGAGAACAATTTTTCGAGGGCTACCCAGGAGTCTACATCCACTCCGGCAAGCATGAGCGCAAGGCGGAGTCATACGTGACGCATGTATGGTTTCCCATCTTGAAAGAAGGCAACAAATCTCTCCGAGCAGTTGCGGCCAAATTAGCAGTGTCGTTCGACCAAGCTGCAGGATCTCTCCGTGGCTCCAAAGCAACGGATCAGTACATTCTCAGGGAAGACTACGTCCAGCTCGAGGCGCTGCTGCTTCACATCACAGACTCACTGCCTTTGGGGACCTATGTGCAGACTGGCTGGAACCCCCTTGCGGAAGCTGCCCCAATTCAACGCATAGCGAGGGAAAGACCGGAGGAGCCGAGTTCATACAGAAATCCACCAAGATCCTCCTCCCAACCTGCCAAGGAGTCAGCTACCTTTCAAGATGATGATAACTCCACCTGGCAGGCCGCAGCTCTTCCTGGGAGAGGAGACAAGGCAATGGCCTCTGACCAAAGCGCTCTGCCGACCTCCTTGCATCAGCCCGAAGATGATAGTGATGAATCCTGGGGGATTTGGTCACCAGCTGCTGATTCCGCAGGCACAGATCCACAGGATCCATTTCATCAAGAAGTCCCACAGCATCAAGAGGGAGGCAGAAGAGAGCATGCCTGGCAGCCAGCAACTCAGCACTCACCAAGTTTAGCAGATCTGGATGGTAATCTTGATCGGCTCTCTGGACGGGGCGCTCACGAAACCAGACGAGTGATGATAGGCAAGCTCCTCACACAAGCTCTCAGACATGACCCAGTGAAGTTTGGCATTTCGCTAGACACTGCTGGCTATGCCAATCTGAAAAGCCTTCTTAATTCCAGGCAATTCTGGCGGGCTGAAGTGACAGTTCATGAAGTACAGCGAGTACTGGAAACCTCACAGAAGGTCCGCATGGAGCAGATGATCTCAGAGGAGGACGGTGAAATCTACATCAGAGCCTTACAGGGTCATGGTCGTGACATCCCACTGGACGACGATCAACTGCATGAGGTTCTGACCTCCTCAACAACACCGGAGTGGGGTGTCCACGGGACGAGCTGGCGGGCCTGGCAGCAGATTCGCTCCTCTCAGCTGCGCAGAATGCAAAGACGTGACATACATATGTCTTTGTCACCAACCAAAACTGCAGGATTCAGGGAGGACTCCTCAGTGGAGATCTGGATCCACCTGCCGTCTTTGATCGACAGTGGACACATAGTGCGTCGGGCGAAGAATGGAGTACTGCTGACGCGTGGACCCATTGACCTGTCCCACATCAGCACTGTCATAGATCGGCGCACAGGCAAGTCTCTGCCCTTTTAAAGCGTCCTCAGCAGTTTCACCTGTACCGAATTCGTTCTGCCGTGGTCTACCTTCGCAGCGGGAGGCTTCCTCCGGAGGATTCCTCCACTTCATTTTAAAGTAGACAGCAAGTACGCCCTCTGCTTAAGGCAACAAAGACTTTGATACAGCCTGAACGAGTTGTCTCTCTTTGCATGCTCTAAGAGCAGTTTCCCCACCCTCCACCTGCACATTGCCCAGGTGAGCTTAGCGTCGCGAAGTCCACAAGCAGTGGCAGGCACTTCCTTCTGCAGTTCCTTGTTCTTGAGTTGTGCAGCTTTCAGCTAGAGCCCTTGCATGCTTGTTAGCAATGGTCAATGCCTGCCTGACACAAGAAACCACTTCACACTTCCGTTGGCAGTAGCCATTCTAACCTCGAATCCAGCCATCAACACCTGTGTTTCCAATGGAGAGCAGTAGCTTGGTGCAAGCGCTCACTCCGCTCCTGGTTGCTCTCGTGCACCAGCAGGTAGTTGTTGAGGACCAGAACATCTCCTCCGAGACTACCAGCACAAGGGTTGCGGAGTATCTCTACACTCACAAGGTGAAAATCCTCGCCCAGTTCATGAACTACGCACATGAGGTGCTCCAAGCAGAGAGGTTGAAGACACTGTTTTGGGCAGTACGGTCATTGACCGGATATGATGAATTGCGTGAAATCAAGGCGGCCCGGCGCCAAAAGTTGCGGAGCATCAGCCTACGATACTTAAGTCTGATGAGGTTCACCGAGCTTCCCACCACCCAAGGAACGTGGTACTACAGCGTGATCCTCACCGAACTAGAGAGCTTCTATCGTGAGACGCACATTATCCGGTATACCTCAAGCATGCTTCCGCCGCATCTTGACGCTCTGTATCAACAAGAGGTTGGGCAAGTGCGTGATGAGTTCTTTGCAGAGGATGCGGAAATGAACATAGCGATCGCACAGTGGACCACAATTTCGGCAGGACTCACAGAATGAGTGGAGGCTACCTCCGGAGGCTTCCTCCCCTTCCTGCACCTCGCCGATTCCCTGAACACTTCTCAACACCTAAATCGGCACAATTGAAGGTGCAACTCTCAACTCGACTAAGCCATGCATTAGTATGGTAGAACTCCATTAGCACAAAGGATGATAATAGTGTCTCTTTCTTTCTTTCATTAGGAGGCTTCCTCCCATGCTGTTTGCATCTTTCATCTTCTCGAGACCTTCTTCATACATTAAAGTGCAATGGAGCTTCTCCAGCAAGGGATTGCAATTTCACTTGTCAAGCCTTGCAGCAAACGCAGATGGCTTTTTGTGACCATCAGCGGCTATGAGGAAGAAATCTTGCCTGAGTCTGTGTTGCACAATGGGGATCCCACCCACCTACCCCTTGCAGAGCACACCGCTCGTGATGCAGGCTGCATTTGGCTGACGTCAACCGATGCTCTGAACAATCAGGCAGGGAGTGATCTCCAGAGAGCATTGCTTGCAGCTAATCATCTCGTTAGCACCAGCATGCATGCTCACACTTGAAGGAACTTTCAGTTGTGAGCAGCTTGCGCTTCAGGCAAACTACAATCATTAATTCTCATTTTCAGTCAGCAAGCTGGCAAATCTTGATCTACTCTAGTTTGCAATGCACTTTTGTTTCTTATCTGAATTTACTCTTACCGTTTTCTTGAACCATTGATTCATTGCATCAGATTAGGAGGTTTCCTCCTGAATTTCCTTAAGTACTCTGCCAAAGCAGATTCAGTATAGCAGGTAGTGAGACCTGGCAATCTGGAGGAAGCGATCCTCTCGAAGTCCAAAAGGCCGGACTGTGAAATAAAAAAGGCGGGTGAGACCTTCTATATCACACTTGCCCGCCTTAATCACACCAAACTCAGCTAGCGCACAGCTATAGCCTGCAACACAACATCGGGGCCAGCCGGCACTGCAGCAGTCGCGGGTGCAGGTGAGCCAGTAGGAGGCGGTCGTAGGGTGTCCAGCCAGCACAGCGCTATCGCAGCCCTGAGGGGCGGATGCATTCCACATACTCGAACATAGCTGTGCACAACAATCCTTTCAGCAGCCCTGAGGGGCGTGAAGTACGAACTAGCAAAGACTGCTGGAGCTCCCAAGGCGGATACAGAGTAGCCGACGTGCCGAGGATCCAAAGTGATCAGAGGTCCACATGCTGATTCTGGCAGTGAGTGCAATGCAAAAATGTTGTTGTTGTAAAAGTTGTAGTTGTAGTTGTAGTTGTTGTTGTAGTTCTAGTTCTAGTTGTAGTTCTAGTAGTAGTAGTAGTAGTAGTAGTAGTAGTAGTAGTAGTAGTAGTAGTAGTAGTAGTAGTAGTAGTAGTAGTAGTAGTAGTAGTAGTAGTAGTAGTAGTAGTAGTAGTAGTAGTAGTAGTAGTAGTAGTAGTAGTAGTAGTAGTAGTAGTAGTAGTAGTAGTAGTAGTAGTAGTAGTAGTAGTAGTAGTAGTAGTAGTAGTAGTAGTAGTACAGTAGTAGTAGCAGTAGCAGTAGCAGCAGCAGTAGCAGCAGCATCAGTGGTAGTACTGGTAGTGATGGTAGTCGTAGTAGTGGTCGCAGTCGCAGTCGAAGTCATCGTCGTCGTAAAAACGGAACTGGTAGTGTTGGGGTTTCAGAGTTTGGGGTTTAGGTTGAAACTTCAGATTGGTTCCAGCTTCCGCGTGAAAGGTCTCCCAGTAAACAAAGCGGGAGAGCTTCGCATCCCCATTTTGCCGTTAGGCAAAACATCCAAGTGTTGATGTCAATGTTGCGCGCGATGCCCAAACCGAATCATTCGAAAACCGCAAAGTCCGCAAAGTGTTTTACCACATGTAGATAAGTGCGAGCGCAGCGAGCGAAACACCGGTATTCAACAAAATTACCTGATCAAGTTTTATCTTTAATCAGTTTTCAACATTTTTTGGCAATTCAGAAATTGCAATCGCAATTGTTTCTTGTTTGAAGTTGCTTGCAACCTTTTTACCTCTGAAATATTCTTGCAAATCTGTGCAAACAAAATTTGTGAATGTCGGGCGGAAGTGACATTTTTGGAGAAGAAGGTTTTTGGGGATTGACTGTGCAGGTCACGTCCGGCATATTTGTTGTAGCTGATTTTCAAAACTGGTTAGATTCGAGCGAATTGTTTCAGAACTGACAGTTTTGAAGAAAGATTGTTGTTTTTTTGTTTGTTTTTCAAAAAAGATGAAAGATCATACAGCCAAAAAACTCACACCCAATAACTCGCCAAAAAAGAACAGACGACAACACAACAGACTTGAGAGAGAAGCCAATGCTTGCAGTTGTCTCCTGTTATTTTTAGGTTCGTGTGTCAGTGTGGTGTCGTTTTAGTCGCTGTTCGGGTGTGTTGGTGTGGGTCAGGTCCTTTGGTGTGTTGGTGTCTTAGCACGACTTCAATCCAAGCCAAATTTTTTAAGCCGAAAAAGGGTGTAAAAAAACTGTTATTAAGCCAAAAAAGTGTCTCACTGCAGATCCAAAATTTTGACCAAAAGAAAAGCGTCTCAACATTCAGCCCAAACCAAAAATTTGACTAGGGTGTCACAACACCACCTCAAGTCCAAAAAGTTTGAACCAAGACTTTGGTCCAAGCCGATTTTTTGTGAAATTTTCACAACTAACGACCAAAAGGGTGTCTGTGCGGGTGGAAGGTATAGGTTGGAAGACCCAAAAAAGAGGGGCAGCAAAATCAAAAGGTCGAGAAGCTGAGGCTCAGGTCTACGTGGTGTCGGTGGGGGTCGGAGTGTCAGTTCTTTTCTCACAGGTGGGCAGGTGGGTGGGTGGGTGGGTGGGTGGGTGGGTGTGTGGACAGTGTTCAGTGTCTGTAAGTGTGTGACTGTGGAACACCAATTCAAAGGCAGGGAAGCTTCAGTCACCTTCACAGCCGTTAGAGGTTTGAAACTAGAGTTTCTGGGGGCTGCCTTTGGAGCCCCAAAAATGTGTTTAAATTGGCGCCGCTTGAAAGGGCCTCCACAGAAGTAACAACGAAGTACGACTCCAAAGAAGAATCAAAAACGAGAGGCGACGAGCAAGCCAAGCAGGGGGATCCAGGGCTGAAAGAGACGAAATCAAACAGAGGCCACGACCCTGACCGCAGGCTCCCCCCCTTTGTCCTCATTCTGGAGAGGGGGTGAAATTCATGCCTTTCGTTTATTGAAGTTGAAGCAATGGCCTGATAAGAGCTCTGGACACTTTTTGCGTTGCGTTCTTCCTTTTTGGAAATGTTGGCACAGGTTCGGGTGAAGCTTCGCGTTGCCATGCTGCCCGTGATTTTTTTTGCAGCACATGCATGCTTGTCACCAAGTAGAACTAGCATGCATTCTTCATGTTGAGCAATGCTATTGTGTTCCGGTGACATGAAAGACATGAGCAGTTCCGATCATCTGGCGAGATTACATCTCGAGGATGTTGGCTGGGTAGGAATGGCGAAAGTTAAAATGGCACTGATAGACCCTCAAACTTTAAAACTTTGACACGTTGTTTGCGTCCTGATGGGCGGCTACCACAAAGGAGGAAAAGGTGCCCTTGTCGTCACTTGCGCGATCATAGCCACCGTGTGTGTCTGTGTGTGTGTGTGTGTGTGTGTGTGTTCCGCTCAACGAATACATCCCGCATATCCCGCCCAGTGATGTGAACCAATGCATGTGTGGTGATGATTACCTGGATCCCAATTGCAAGGTGGTTCTGGTTATGGCAATGCCAAGGCAAGTGCCCCGCTATCTGGGCCGTTGTCACGTGTTTGAGGTTGTGGGATGATCACGTTGTTTCGGAAGCTTGCGCGTAGTAGTGCAATCACAGAGTGTGGAAGCAGCGGGTCTACTTAGTGTTGCTACATTGGGCACTGGATGAGCACGAGCAGTCGCTATGTCAGTCCGACTTATACGAACAACTTTGCATGCGTTTAGAATGTGGGGATATTTCATGTCCGTCGTAGATTTGTGGGGTTGCAGCAGTGGCGTGCAGCTTGCAGGGTGGAGGCGGTGGTGGAGGTTGGCAAGACAATGCAGGCAAACCGACCACGTGTGGAGCTTCTTCGGGCTTGGTGGATGTTGCAGAAGCCTAAGCAGGTGCGAAGCGTTTCAGCCCTTTGCATGAATGTTGCACAGAGTCTGGATGTCAAAATGCTCGCAAACTTGCAATGCGTAGGTTTTCAAGCGTGATGTTGTGAAGGCAAAAAAGGCGGCGGAGGAGGCAAAGGGAAAGGCAAAGGCCGGTGCAGGGTCGAATTTGCGAGACTAGATGAATGCAAGTGCAGATCAAGCAGGATGTTTGAATGGCTTGTTGCGCAGGAAAGCCTGACACGGACTATTTGCCCCCGCAGTACCTGCCATAGATTCGCCAATGAATCACGAGCTGCGGCAAGTGCCACGCTTTATATGAATTCAACTTTTATATATATATATATGTATATACACACACTGCCGTGTGGAGAGAACAGCTGACGGCGTGCATGAGAAGACGACTGAAGGCATGCCAGCCCGGCGCTGGAACCTGGGCAGCTGGGATCTCAGATCGCCGCTGTGCGTGATGACTTAGTGATCTTATGCGTGGTCCCACTTGGTCCCTCGACTCTCAAAGGAGTCCCACCTTTCAGACCAACTGCTGTCAGGGCATGTTCTTGCCAAGTCAACATCAATCTAGTGACCGCGATCATCTGACTTTCGATGATCAGACGAAACCGAGGCCAAAGAGCGTGCCACTGTACCCCGCAGGCATGCTCGGTTTCTGCATTGGCCTTTTGAGACTGCAGAGTTTGCGCTGACATTGTGCTGACGATTGCTGACGTGGTTCATGGACATTCGTTGCAGGCGAGGCATCCGCCGCCCCGAAAGCGCCGAGTTTCAGCGAACTGCGCTTTAGCTGCAGCAAGCGGTGCAATCCCTACACGACCCGTCGTGTTTGCACGAGGCCAGCATGGACGGCCGCGCAGGCAGTCCGAGACGCCTTGAGGCACAACAAAACACTTGCGCTTCTTGTTCTCATTTGTGTGGCATCAACATCCATTCGCTCGTGCCTGACTGCAGATTGCCAGGCGTTCACAGGTCATCTGTATCCAGGGGGAGACAGGCTGTGGCAAGTTTGAGACCCAGTTGTCGGATGGGTTTAGGGAGAGCAGAGGGCAAAGGCAAGGGTATGACAAGAGAATGACATGGCAGTGTGTGAGCAGTTCAGGTCATCTGTGATGCCAATGGTCTTCTTAGAAGATCCAAAGGGCAAGATTGTCGCTCGGCGAAGCTTTCTGTTCGGCCGCATGTTCATGCGCAAGATGTAGAAAGTTTCCTCAGGGTCTTGCAAAAGCAAAGCACCAAATGACATGGAGCTTGTCACCGACATGCGCGGTCTTTCTCTTCCTGTCTCTCTTTCTCCCTTTCTCCCTCCATCCAGCCCTGCCTCGCATCGTTTCAATCGCAGCCATCGTGGAGTCAGCTGAAAGGCAGTCACGCAGCCACGGCGGATTGCCGCGATCTCCTTGGCACAGCGTCAGGAGCCCGGATGGGCCACAGCTTGCTCTCGAGGGAATCTATAGTCTACAGAGGAAGCCTTCTTCTTCTTACTGTTTAATATAACGATGTAAACAATACTATATAGTGGATTATGTTTTCTATGATGGATTCGGAGAGAGGTTCCAGCCATTCAGGGTCAAGCAAGCCATGGCAAGAGAGATTTTCGCCACGCCTGAGGTGTTGCATCCCAGTGCCATGAGGCGGTCGGCGAAACAGTTGGTCGATGTCTCAGAGTCGGCGAGCCACAGGACTGACCCAGCATATTGCAACATATCCCAGCATATCCCAGCATATCCCAGCATATCCCAGCATATCCGAGCATCTAATGACATCCAACTTGACCTTGGTCTTTCTGACTTCAAGCACTGCAGACAAACGCCTCCTGTGGTGAAAAAGAGTTGGCAAGGCTACCGAGTGGCCATGGACGGAAAGGTGGGCGTTGTGATCTGTGAGCATTGGTGCATTGCTGGCTATCACACTGTTCCTTTTTCGAGCTGCCTGTATGTTGTAGAGAAGTGTATCAGTTTCTATGGCCAGGTGTCGGGGTCTACACGACTGTCGTTTGTCACCACAGGTCGGCAACTTACAGGGAAGCATTCAGAACCACCGAGAAAACAGATGTGTTGGCCACATTCTGCTGAGTCGTGGCAAGGACCGGAAGCTTCCGCAAAATGTTAACGCTAAAACCTAGATCCCACAGTTCCAATTGAGTTACATGCAATCCTGAGGGGCCCGGGGAACCCTTTAAACGGCCTCCCTTTGCGCACACCGCTGTTTAGACCTGCTCTCGGAATGGTGTTCAGCCGAGGGTGGCTGCTAATGTACCTGGCACATCGCCCAGAGGCAAGCGGTCGCAAGGAAGAAATACGCGGAATACTTGAATCTGTTCGTGGCTTATGTGCTAGGCTGCAGTACAGGTATCTTTTTATCCAGCTGTGAGCCTCTGCCAGCTGCCGGGAGGCCTTGCGCCACTACACGCACATCGTTTTGGATGAGATCCATGAAAGAGATTTGGACATGGACTCCTGGCATGGTAAGACCTGCAGAATGAATGCATGAGGATCAAGCCGGTCGAGTGTCTTGAGTCGAATTACGTCCTTCGCCGATCATTGCAGAAGCATCTGTAGTGCCCGGGCCCCCCGTCAGGATCTGTTATGCCTTCTCTTGAAGCGAAGCCTTGAGAAGAACCCATCGCTGCCAGTATCTCAGTGGGCTCAGTGAGCTCAGGGGCTCAGCCTCTGGTTAATCGCTGTTGAGGCGCCTCGTCCTCATGAGCGCAACGGTGGATGCCACTCAGCCTGGGGCCTTCTGGGGCCCTAGGAGTACTCTTAGTTTACTGCTCTGCGTTGTGTCGATTCTGTCGTCCTTCGGCCCTGTCTGAGTACTTGTCCGCGGACTTTCCTCGGCGGTTCACCTAAGGTTCTTGGACTTCTTTGCCGGTCCAGGCTTGAGGAGTGCTTGGTTGTCTAAGTAGCAGAAGAAAGCAGCACGATGGATGTGACTCTCCTGTTCTCCTTGACAGAAGCATAGTGGCACTGTAACTCGATTTTTGTTCGTTCGTTGATTGTGACTTTGACTGGGCCTCCTCGATAGTGGCCGTGGTGAAGGCTCAGTGGGTACTGTGATGCTGGGCTCCTTTGCAGGTGTCCGTGTGGAGCGCCAGCCCATCGTGGTGGGCTCGCGCCGTTTTCCCACGTCCCGTGGCTGCACGAGGGCGACGTGGGTCGTTGAAGCAGAGGAGGTGTTTTACACAATGTAATGTCACATCAATATGCACTATTTGGATATGCTATACAGGCTTGCCTCTCTAGCCAGGTGGGGGAGCCGGGTATGCATTGAGCCAAGCTGATCGAAACCTTTTGCTTCGCAAATGTGTTGTAGCCCTGCGCCTCATAGTGAGCAGGTAAGTTACTGCCGCGCGTTGCTGGTGAAACAACGAAGTAAGGGGTTTGGGTCTGACGTTTGTTCTTTGTCGGGGCCTACGGCGGGCAGTTCCGTGTTTTGCAAGCAAGTAGCATCACATTCGATGACCTTGAGCTTTCCAGAGTGTTGTGTCCCTTCGATGTTTTGATGGCCCTGCAGCGTTTGTCTCTAGGCTCTAAGGATTCTCATCTTCACTTTCTTCGCTCATATTTGTTCACAGCCAAGACAGGTTTTGACCCTCGTATCGTCGAAACAGGTTGAACCCAAGGAAACCTGGATTTACATTCCAGGCTTTTCTCGAGCCCAGGTTTCAGAAGCCCAGATTCAACCCAGATTTCAACCCAGATTGAAACCTAGGTAGAACCCAGGTTTCAATCCAAAAGCCTAGGTTTGAACTTCAACCCAGGTTTTTTTGGCTTTGTTTCCCACAAGCGTTGCGCACCTTGCTGTAGCTCCCGTCAGTGTCAGGTACCCTTACTTTTTGGATGACCTGGTGAATGGAGCACGCGCCCTGGAGCTGTGGCCCCACCCTTTAGGCAAACAGCGACAAGCTTTCAGTCCCCACCCTTTAAGCAAGCAGCGACAAGCTCTCAGTCTAAACAAGTTCTGCACGCTTAACTCACAAGGCCCCGAGGGGGTACAAGATCCACAGTTTAGCAGACGTGTTTGTACAGATTGCCTGTTACTGGAGGCGCTCCCTGGCTTTGTCCCTCGGGTCCGTATGGACAGGCAACAGGGACAACTTTCCTGCTGAATCTGGACAGATTTCTTTGATTCATGTCGTTCTTTGGTGTTGTTTGCAGGTTTGACAAGATTGGAGGCCGTGTTGAGGCGCGGCTTTCTCCCAGCAATGATCCGTAGCTGAGTGCATTGGCATCACCGAACGTTGCAAGTCGCTTGGAGGTGAATTCGCAGCTGTTCGAGGTTTGTGTCGGCATTGTCCAGGCAGGTCCGGCTCATCGTGGTAGTAAGCATGCGCTGCACGCCAATCCCGCGCTTTCACAACTTGTCTGCGTCGGTTGCATTGCCTACACTCGATATCTTCTTCTTGCTCCGCGCTTGCAGGCAGTCGCCAAGCCAGGGCTCTGTGTATTGATCTTCTTGCCTGCTACCCGGGCGCGCCTTGATCAGATGAAAACGGGTAGTTCGCCCTGTTCTCTGGAAAGGCCTGGCCTCTCTGAGATCGAGCAGCTGCACGAGGAGCGGGGCTTAAGAGTGCCACACGGAACATAAGGATCTTGTTCCGGCGACTTGCGCGGCCCTCACATCGATTTCAGGCCTTCACTGGTGGCCCCCGGCGTGACCAGTGCCCTCTTGTCTGGAGCTTGGCCAATGGGCAGTGAGGTAAGGCTTCAATGCGTACGCGCGCCCAGAGCTCAAGCTCAATCAAACTCGATGCCTCTCCGAGCAAGGCTGTGTACTGAAGAATTAGGGAAGGAGATGCAAACGGGAATGCAGCGATGTGAAACAGAGGGTTTGCCTTGCGAAGGATTTTCACATGCTGCACTCCGTTGTGCCCCACGAGCAGCAAAAGAAAGCGCTGCTGCCGCCGCCGGCAGGGGGGCCTGAAGTAGTACCCGGATGTGCCACGGATTGCCACGGAGGTTATGCTGAACGGTGCACTGAGGCTCACGCGTGTTTTGATGGCTACTCCATCTCTCGTTTACCCGGTTCTACCTGGTATGCGATAAGCTATGAGGGGTTAGTCAGACGGTGATCTTAAATCAGCACCTCATGTTGCCAGTGCAGCTTGTGTCGTAATCTAAGGAGCATGTAATTATGCTGCAAAGTGAGAGATTTCAGGCCGGCCATTGCAAAGTGGTGCTCTCCACAAACATTGCAGAGTTCTGTGCTGAGATGTATCCCTTCGCCTATTCTCGCCTCTTGCATGCGCAAGTGGAAGGAAGCGTGCAGAAGCATTTGAGGTCCTCAATTACGATCCCAGATGTTGACCCCTCAGAGATCTGCGCTCATGACGCCTCGTGAGCTGTCCCTCCTGGTGTCTGACAGTGAAGCTGGTTGGAAGGTGAGATATGTCTTGGATTTCGGCATTGTTCGAAAAATGGTTTTCGACGAAGAGAGGGCCATGCAGTGGCTTGGCACGCACTGTTCTATCGAAAGAACGCACAAGAATGCTTTGCATTCTCCGAATCTTCTGCGCACCACGACAGGAGTCTGTGTAACACCTGGAGCTCACAGGCGACCTGCCGACAACGTGCGCCGCCCAGCATGTGGAATGCAGTTGTATATTTTCTATACTGTAATGTACAGTAATGTATGACAATACTCAGTATATACATATATATATATATCTGCATATATGTATATACATACATTGATGTACATATGTGCATAAAGGTGCATGTTCGATATTTTGGGTGCGATCCTCGCAAGCGAGGCTTAGGCCGACACGGTTTCTAGCCAACAGCGCCGCGAGTGAACCCCCCTTTACCCCCAATAGGACGGCCTCACCCTTTCCTGCCCCCATTATTCGCACCCTCAGCCCTAAGCCCTAAGCCCTAAACCCTAAACCTTAAACCCTAAACCCTAAACCCTAAACCCTAAACCCTAAACCCTGAACCCTGAACCCTGAACCCTAAACCCTAAACCCTAAACCCTAAACCCGAACCCTAAACCCTGAACCCTAAACCCTAAACCCTAAACCTTTCTAAACCTTTCTAAACCCTAAACCCTCAACCCTAGTGTAAAACTCTCGTCTCGCCTCCTCAGTGTCACCTTGTGGTCGGAGATGAGGCCGTGGACGCTGCGGCCGCTTGCAGGAAGGAGCCCGGGACTTGCGCCCTCGAGCCACTTCTGGCCCCTTTGGGTCTCTGAGGCCTCCGAGGTCTCAGCTGTAGGAGTAGAGAATGGCCGCGCCATGCACGGCATAGCATGGCCTTGAGGTCATCGTGTACCTCTTCCCGCGCAGCCATTATGACCGGCTGCAGCCATATGCTTCCCCCGAGGTGCGCCAAGTGAGGAGCCTGAAAAAACATCTCACAGCTTCTGCCAGAGGTGCTCGGAGTCCCCCTCGAGTCCATCTACCTGAAGAGCTCGTTCCCCAGAGGGCCTTTAGCGTCCCTCTTTTGGGACCGGTCTTATTCTGTTTGCCCTTTTCCAGCCCACAAGCGAGGCCGTGTGCTTCTGCATCATCTGGGCAGCCCTGAGGAGTGACTTCCTCTGTCCTCTCTGTCCTCTTCGTCCTCTCCGTCCTCTCTCTCCTCTGTCTCCTCTCTGTCCTCTCTGTGGTCTCTGTCCTCTCCGTCCTCTCTGTCCTCTCTCTCGGTGTGGGGTCCAAATCTGTAGGGATGTTCGAAGTAAACCAAGTTTGTTCGGTTTTTGGGGTGGGGGGTAGGTTCTGTTCACGGTGTTCCCTTTTCTTTGGCTGCTGCAAAGCCCTCCCTGTTGGCTCCAGATTCTTGCGAATGTCTGCGTCCTCTGCTCAAGGACTTGCTGCAGCAGCTGATCGACTCCCCGTTGCGGCCCCATCCATTTTGAAGGTCTTTCTCTGCATTGGGTCGTCTCCAGGGGTGATGCCAGTTTTGTGTTGTCGCGTTGTGAAATCGACGGCGGTGCCATCACGAGTGACTTAGCTTCGATTTCCATATATTCTTTGCCTCTGACAGACCTGCACAAGCCATCGTAGCTGCAAAGCAATCATGTAAGTCTCTGCCGAAGTCAGGCCGCAGCAGCGGATCGCTGCAGCAGCGCAGAACCTTCGGGAGCGAAGAGTAGCCCATTATTTGAAGCTTCTCACTGCACGCAGTACAGTATTTGATTGAGTCACAGAGTAGCAAGAAAACAAGTGATGTAGAGACTTGTTGTGTGACTCTTGAAGCAGGACCTTGGCGCCCTGAAAGGTGATGGCGAGGCCGTTGTAGTTGCGAAGTGGGCTGCAAGTCTCAGAAGCCTCTGAGAATCGAGAAGCCTCAGGTTGCGTCTCTGGGCCGCATTGCAGTCTTCATGCCGACCACGTTCAGCCCTCAGCCTATCTGGGGAGCCCGCGGTAGGTTGTTGGTAGAGGCTGCTGACATGTGTCGGTGGCTTCTGAGGATCCAGCTCACCAAGCTGGTGGTCCTTTCCTGGGCTCTGGGAATCCCGGGAGATGGAGTTGTGATCGCCGCTGCGCTGAGCACACAGGCAGGGGTGCATTGACCGTGCTCGTCTGACACTCTTTATCTCTCCGCGACGCCTCCCTTCACGATCCGGCCATGGGCCAGGACGTGTTCAAAATGGCAGCACCAGCCAACTGCCGGAACCTTGAGGACAGAGAAGATTGCAAGAACAGATATTCCTATCCAGATCTGCGGAGCAACGCAGAGCACCAGGACTTTCCCGCTCACCTCGCACACAACTACATCACGCGGGCCCGCTTTGATGACGGCCAGTTCTCCGAGCCGATCATGTGCGCAGCACGTAATGAAGACGAAGACGCACTCGCGTCACAGCACCTCGAAAGGTATCGCAACCTGTACAAGGAGTACCTCACTGTTTCAAAGACCCAGGCACATTCCCCTTGCAAATGTGCGGCACTGCTTCTTATTGTGTCCACCCACGCCATGTAGAAGTCTCGAGATTCCCAGTAAGTAGCAGGCGAGGGCCTATCACAATTGGTTGGATCAAAGCTGCGTGTCTGTGAGCCGTGGGCCCTGCGTGTTTGGCCGAGTGCAGCCTTAGCGCCTAGTGTTGCTGTGCGAGCTGCTCCTACAATGTAGTTGAAGCAAGCTAGCTGCAAAATTTGCCGGACAGATCTGCCAAGAGCTATGCTGTAGAGGGCGTTGCTAAAGTGGGCCTTGGGCGTAGTCTGCCCGTGTCTTGTTTTCTGATTGGCTCTGGTTGCCCCCGATGACAGGAATGAGCCAGTTTGCGGCCCTGGTGGTGGAGCTCGCTGCCAAGCTGGGTGCCGCTGTGCCCAGTGCCAAGGCTCCGTCGTTGCAGAGTCGACGGCGTCAACGGTGCAGCCTAAAGCTTGATCCCGGAGTGAAGAGCCATCCAGTGCTCACGGCTGTTGCCTCCAATGTCCAGCTAGCTAGTGACTAGTGAGGCTCTGGTGTTGCCAGTGACGCAGTTTCTCACCATCTCCTATCGCATTTCTATTGATTCAGATTCAGCCCCCCGTGCGATGGCCACAGCGGGTGCCTGTGGCACGCTGAAGCTAACACCGCTGCCGTCACCGCCGTCGCCCACGCTGTCTCCATGGCGAGGAGCGCCGCGTAGCCGAGCCATCTGCGCCGGTCCTTGCGGCTTCAGTGACTGCACGGCCGCGCACTTCTCGCACTTCCTCACGGCTGCCAGTGCCGGCACCGTCGGTGCCCCTCTGGGCCTCGGATGCCTCGGATGCCTCGGCCTCGCCTGTCTGCGGCGCCGGAAGGTTGGGGCTGGGGTGGGTATACCGGGATACAGAGGGGATGTCAGGAGGGATTCGAGAGTGTGGGCAAGCAGAACAGTCACTACACTGCGGTTTGTGAATCCTCCTCAGGGCCGCAGGACGAGCCACTTTGCGGTGCCGCAGCGCTTTGCAGAGTCTCTGAAGCCCGAGCCAGTGACGCTCGGATTGCAGCGGGAAGGGATGCAGGTGGGAAGCGACATGCGCCGAACAAGACGAACGTGCATGTTTCAAGAGCGGGATCAAGAGAAGGGAGCATCGTTCCGGGGCGCTCCATGACTCCAACCGGCCGGCGTTGACTAGTCACTGCAGGCCCAAAGTCAGCACGACCGAGGAAGCGCTGGAGCGACGCTGGGCTTCACAGATCGTGTTTTCGACACTTAACTCAATCCCCCTTTCAGCTTGTCGCCCGGAAGCCCCCGAAAACTCTAAAGGACGCAAGGCCCAAAACCCCGAAAGGCCCCAAGCCCCCCCCCCCCCGAAACCCCTCAGCCCCCTCATTTGCACTAGCCCTCTTCCTGCTCAGGAATCCGACTCCGCGAGCCCGTTGTGATTCAAAGGGCACCGCTGTGCCTCCTGCCTGATCTGCCTGGGTTTCAGAGTTCAGGGTGGTTTCCGACAGAGCATGCTCCCCGCTCCTGCCCTGCTAGTTTGGTGCAATCTTTCATGCCACGAATCGCTTGTAGTCCCATCCATGATCCGGGGTGCAGAAGGTTAACAGCATGCCGCGTGTGCTGTTTGTTTGAGACCGCCGGCGCAAGGCACGAACGTGGTCGAGAAGTGGAGCTTTGAGTACCTGGAAAGTGATCTTGGGCTTACTGAGCCTGACTGTTACGTTTCAAAGTGTTGGTTATTTGGCTATATAATACGACATCAAACTCTCAACTCCCAACTCTCAACCGTGAATCGGAAAAGGCAACATGGCGCAGTCGGAGTGGCGTGTGCACATCGCCCCTGCGGACGAGCGCCGCTTCCAGCGAGTCTACGGCGAAGGCGCCTATCTGCAGCTTCGTGGGGATTGTTTTGAGTTTGGGCCCCAATCGTGAACAGGACTCCTTACCAAAAGGATCGCCCCGAAAGAGCCTAACTTGGCCGAAAAGCCCATCCAACCCCGAGCCCAGGCGTTGGCGAGGGCCTGGTGACCTTGATGAAGTTCACGGACTTCGCCCAGAGGAGCGCAGCAGAGACCGAGCATGCGTACTACATGCACCTCGGAGGAAAGAGGGGCTGCTTGAAGCGATTCCGGTGGTACTCGTATGCTCAGAGCACAGCAGCGAGTGAAGCGAAGCTAAGCAGAGCACAGCAGCAACCGCTTGGATGCTCGTGGGCGCCGAGGCAGGTGCCCTTTGTGGGTCGCCCTCTGGAAGCCCTGGGCGTCTTCGCTGGCACGCAGAGCTCGCCCTGGACCCTCAAAGCTTCAAACTTAAACCCTTAAAGCCAGAAAACCCTCGAAGCACTTAAGCCCCAATAGCCCTTTTCGCCAGATTCTTTCGTGTCTGAGGCTCGGACCCCTATGGCGAGGCCATGCGCCAGGATCGCAAGGACTTCCAGTGGCCCTGGCTACAGGAGCTTCTCGCAGAGGCAAAGCTTGGCCCCATAGACACTTGCCTCAGTTGTAGGCATTTCCTGCAAAAATTAGCAAGGACTTGCCACTTACTGCACTGCCTGTCATCATCTTCTTCTTTTCCTTCTTCTTCTTCTTTATCTTCTTCTCGTCGGTTGTTGTTATTGTTCTTGTCGTTCTTGCTTTTGTTCCTGTTGCTGCTGCCTTTCGGGAATCCGGAACGCATACGCTGTCATGAGAATGCTGATGGGGAGGCGGATGCGGGCAAGGACGAATGTTTGGATGAGGGGGAGGATGAGGATGAGGATTGGGATGACGATGATGATGATGAGGAGGAGGAGGAGCAGAAAGGTGGAGATGACGACGATGTTGATGAGGATCGATGAAGATGATGCCGATACCTGATGACCACGATGATGGTGACGATGATGATGGCGCTGTTTCGGAGCATTAGAACTTGCGTTGTTCGCAAAGGCGACATCTTCTAGTTCGCTTGTTCCTCCTGCTTGCAGTCAGCCTGTGCAGCTTGTCACGCTTGTCGCAGCAGAGGATAACAACCAGCTGTGGATTGGGAGGGGGGGAAGCCTCACTCCCTGCCACTATGAAGCTTGTCCGAGCTATTTCGGGTTTTGCACAACGCCTCGTCAGTTTCTTCGGCTGGGACATGAAGCATGGCCACATTGAAGTTGAGGACAATGTCGAGAACCTGCATGCGCAGATCTGCGGAGAGAAGCAGTTTCTTCTTATCCCGCCCGAGCATACCTTTGCTGCTTGGCCTCTGTGGATGTCCTTGTTCCAAGCAATCGCAGAGAAGCACTGATGCTCAGGGCTTGTCTTCAGGCCCTGTACCCATATCCCATCGATCATCCCCTCGACTCCTTCGCCATGGTGGACTTGGAGCATCCGGCCACTTGGTGGACTTCGGGAATTAAAGACCTGGGATGTATTCTTGCTGTTGTACAAGGTCAAGTCCTGTCTCTGTGAGCCTTTTTCATGATTCATCGCTCCCAGATCGTGTACTCGAAAGTGCTCCCACATGCCAAACATGCTTTCGTTAAGGATTTGGACCGCTCCTTATCTGCACAAGCTTGGCGCACACGTCGACGATTTGTCAGGCTGTTCCGAGTCAATCACGCATAAAACTCGAATCAAGCGCAAACGGGTCAACGACCAACGTGTCAAGGCTTTCCGGAGTTCGGCAGCCTGCGATGCTTTGAGGCATCGCTGGAGCCGGGCGATTTGCTCTACCTACCGAGGCCTGCCTTTTCATGCTTTTCATGGGGTTTACTCAGTTTACTCATGTTTATTCACAGGGTTTGGCCCTTCAGGTTTTGGTGGCACCAAGTTTGCCAAGGAGACGTGCGAGCTGGTCTGTTCCGTTCCTGCGAAAAAAATTGAGGCACACATCCTGTGGGTCCACAGGACTTAGCGACAACGTCTCCTTGAATTTCTGGTTGGCGGCTGTGGATGGTGAAGAGGCAGCTGCTGGCCCGTTGCGCGGTTTTCTTGAGAGATCTGCAGATTCTTTGAAGTGGACAGGATGCTGCTCCTGTTCACGCGCGCTTCTGGGCTTCGATTAGTGATGACAACGAAGACTAGCTTCTACAGTGGTTTGGGACTTCTGGTTTAGGGTGGTCTGCACAGATGTGCAGCATCAATCAGCTTAGATGTCAGCCTCAGGCCTGTTCCGAGAGGCACCCCTACGATGTTGGCCGCTTCTTGCGCATCGCTTCCTTGAGGACTTTGCAGGCGTGCTGCTCCCTGCACACACTAGATGTTCACCCAAGTTCGCACTTGGATGTCTTGCTCATGGTCGGATGAGGGCGAAGACAGTTCCTGCACCAGTGCAGGAGGCATGATCCAGCGATTGGTTGCGGCCCAGGCGCCAGCAATTCATCATGACAACCGATGTGACTCCGCAGCCCCACGAGCCCTGATTGCTTTGACCCAAAACCTTCAGAGTTTCCCCCGCTTGGTTTTTGTCGTACATGCGCTTTCCAGGCCTCAGTTCCCCTCCGCTTTGAATCATTCTGGATGATTCCGATCGTGTAGGCATGTACACGGCTCCTTGCTCCAGGCACTGCCGCCCGACTTTGACGGCAAGCGATGCATGTCGCCAATTAATGTGAATCCACAGGGGGGGATCAGGAAGGAAGCTGTTTTGTGATGTCTCCGAGCTATGCTACTACGGAAGCGTGTGGAAGCATGCTGAAGCCTAGGATTCCTAACGGAGTTGGCGTTTGGTTGGGCAGAGGACTGCGACGGCCTTGATGCAGAAAACGGCCTTGATGCAGAAAACGGTCTTGCAGAGGCAATTGTCTCGTAGTCTTCTGCATGAACGGTCCTCCGCGGAGGACACGCCGCCCTCCCTGGAGCGCTTGGGCGCCCAGGTGCGGGGCGTCCTCTCCTCGCTCCTCCCCGACGCGACTCCGGAGGCGTGGCCCTGAGAGTTTTCCTCAGCGAACGCAATATCTGAGTCGCCATACAGCCTGTCGCAGTGTCGCCAGGAGCTGGATGGCTTCCTGCAGGGAACGGCAGCGCCACCGCGGCTGCACAGCGCGCCCGTCGCGACAGCAAACGTCTGGTGCTCGGGGCCGTTTACAAAAGGTTCTTCTCGTCTAAGCTGCTTTGGAATTTGCTGAATCAAGAGAATGCGGAGGTCACCACGGCATGCAAGGGCGAGCTTGGCGGCTGGCTGTCGGAGCCTCCTGGTGTCGAGGAGTAAAAATGCCGGAGCTGGGGCAAGGGCAGTCAAGGTGTTGCGCATGCACCCCGCTGTCCCCGACCTGCGAAAAAAGTTCTGGGAAGGCTCATCCGGCCCTTCAGACACTTTCCAGAATCAAAAGGCCAGGTCAGCATGCACTGATATGTCCTTGAGAGCGACGGACAGAAGGGCCCGCTGCCTGCCGCAGATCACAGCAGTTGAAGCCCGAAGAGGTTGAGGGCCTCTTCACGAAGGATATCCGCAATCATTTCCTGGCTTTACAGTCTGTGACAGCTCCGTTCTTCGACGCTGAAGCGCAGCTCATGACAGCGAGCCCCTGCGGGAATCAGGACTACGTGCGCTTGAAGTTCGCCCTCGTCGGAGCATTTCAGCCGTCCTTTGTGCAAGGCATCGGACATTGGGGATCCCAAACACATTGTTCGTCGCCATGTGGCCCAGTTGACAAGTTGACTTTGGTCCGACAGCCTAGAAGGATCGTCTCAGCCAGTTGGTTTGCGTTCGAGTTGTCCTGTGAATGGCGAGTGTATGAAAGGCTTATCATCAGCTCTATGAACACATGTAACGCAGCTCCTTTCTTGCCTTGCTAGGTGAGATCAACACCCAGAACAAGACACTTGGCATGCAAACCAGCCAAAGGCACGAGAACCGCCTTGACAATAAGAACTGGGGTTGAGGTGCGGCGAACTGGCAATGACCTTGCTGACGAAGTTGTTCAGTTCTGTCACGTCCTGCTGAAGAGACTGCAAGCTGAGGAACAAGGGTAAGATCAACAATTGTGGCTTTGACCCCATGAGGACACGCGAAGAATTCGGATTGCTGGAGGGATTATAATTGGCAAGCTCTCCTTTCACCTCCTCATTCACTCAGTTGCTCGTCCTCGTACTCTGACAACAGCAAGTGCTACTAGTTCTGCTTCTACTGCTCCGTCTTCTGCCTGTACCACATAGTACCGACTAGCGGTGAAACTGGATGTGTCCTAAAGACAGGACTTACTCCAGCTAAGAGCTAAGTCCTTTACAACTGTTAGGGGTTTCGGGTGTGCTGCAGCCAGATCGAGGTGCATGTTGACTAGCGTTGTCGTCTGTCTTTAACAAGGCGGCAGAGGAAGGGTTTCCAAGCGATGCGCAGCTGCTGAACGAAGGTGGTTCTAGGACCCTGCTTGGGACCTGTCTGGGTGATGCTTTGGGTCGTGTTCCCTGTGCTTTGTGTCCCTTTCCTCTGTTCCTGTCACTTCCTGCATATGCTTCTCCTGCATCCCATGATGTCGTACATTTCAAGTCATCGTCGCCTTGGTCCATCGCATGTGATGATGGTTTTCATTGCTAGACACTGCAGGACGTGCCTGCTGCAGCAGTCGGCCTGGCTCGTTTGTTGTTTTCTCTTCTGGGCATTCTTTGTCACAGAAGGTGCATTATGCTTAGTGAGCCACTTATGATGTTGCGGCAGGCAATGTTGTTACAATGCTGCCGCGTAGCCTTTGCACGTTTCGGGATGGCTGTCGCTGGCTTCGTGCATGACTAGGAGGTGTAAAGCCGCTCAGGCAGGTAGTGCCGGCGTATTGCTTGAAGAACCCTGGTACGTGCAGTTGTTGACGTGAGACCAGGATCAAGCCTGCTGAGATGGCGGATGTGAACAACCTCTGGGAGCAGTGAGCTTACCGCTAGACCGCTAGACCATGCAGTGTGAAGCCAATCCGTCCTGTCACAGTGCACATCCCCTTATGACCCTGTTGCTGCAAGATGGTATTGTTTGGAGTCAAGCTTACATGTCCTTTCGGGGCCATGAGAGCCGAGGTTTTGCAGCAGCCTTGCGCCAACGAAGGATGTCAAGCTGAATGACACCGGCAAGGCGTGGCAACTTGTTGCCTGTCCTCCAGCTCGCTGCTTTGGCCTTTCGCGCCTTGGTGCCCTGGCGAGATTGCCTTCATCGAGTGCGACGATGACTGGAAAGTGCGTGTTCCTGCCAGCGAAGTTGAGCATCCCTCAGTCAACTGAAGCGTTGTCCCTCAAGAGCCTCAAGGTCTCAACCCTCAAGCTGTTGGGGGCTAAGGCAAGAAGAACACAGCACCGAGTGATCTGAGGTTCATCAGATGCCTTTGGTCGCGCAGCTCCTTCATCAGTTACCTGCCTGCAGTGAGTTGATGGAAAGGAGAGTGGCGCGTCAGGGGGACAGGACTTCCTGCGAAGTTTGCTCTGGAGTACAGTACCATTTTCGTCACGAGCGCAAGATCTTCGTCCAGCGAGGTTGATGCGGCAGCCCTGTAAGTTCAAGGCCTGATCTGCAAGAGTCGCATGGCGGGATCACTTGTGGAGAAGGGCAACGGGGCAACCTTGGGTTCTCCTTGTGGCTTTAGGCTATAGGGGTTGTGAAGAGAAGAGTTTGGGTAACTTAGACTACTAGGCCTTTATACGGGACGCGCACAGGGTTGTGGTGAGTTGGCTAAACCATGGTGACTGTGGGCCTTGTTTGGTTCCCGTTCAAAGCTGTACGGCCCTGTTACAGTCTGACTTTAGAAAAGGGGCACATCCATTTAGCGAGCCAAGACACTTGAACCAGGTGCTGTCTGACCAAGGCATTTGGCTCGCGCCCTGGATGTTTCGTATGGGAATGGGGGGGGGGGGGGGGTTTGCTGTTCGAAAGAGAGAGTCTTGGTTCAGAGTCACCAAAGCAGCGGGATCCGTTTACGAAGAGTGCGATGATAACAAGGTAGCTGAAGAGCAAGGGGGGGGGGGGGGCTCATGGATGACTGAAAGTTAGCATGAAAGGGATGGCCAACACATCAGCAAACTCAACGACAGCTGTGCTTACTGTACCCCGTGGAGGGTCCGGTCAGATTGAATGGTAGCAGGACGTGCCATGTGCTCTAGCTTATCAAACCGGGAGTTAAGTGCCGGACCCTTGAACCCTTGAGCTGGAAGGAGCATCCCTGAATCCATCAGTACTAAATTACGACCCATGACCCCAACTCTCAGGCACGAATCTTCGAAGATTGGTTCTCCGAATTTTCTGAACGGTGCCGCAGGGAGGGGACTTGATTTCTTGAGACCATGGGGGTCGCAGTGCTTTGGTGTCTGTGTGCATAGGGCCGTCCATGCAAAAGAGAAGTGCTTGGAAGTCTCATGACTCCCCCCCGGCCTCTGGCGTGAAGAGGCATGAAGTGGCATGTCAACGGCATGCGGACGATGGGCTCTCCCTATTGGCGCTCAAACATGGGCGGCGAGCTCAGCGGCAATTTTGCATGAGTGCAGGCAGTCGCAGGTACGTGAGCATTCAACTGCGTCGATGGGTTTTGGACGAGTTGGAACCTGGGGAGGAATTGGTGACCGAAAGGAGAATGAGTGGGAAGAGTGGGAGCTGGAGCTGTGGGAAGACTGCGGTGGACCTTTCGGCTTTAGATACCTGCGAGGCATCCTCTCCTGAAGCTTCTCTCCTCCGCATGCTGTTGCAGGAGTTCTTTCGAAGTGAAGTGGGTGTTTAGGATCGGGCAAAGAGGAACTCGGAAAACACCGGGCAAATCATTCTCAGGGTTACAGGTCTTTCGGTTGCGGCTTTCGGCGTTAGGTATTTGGTCTTTCCGGTTTGGGAATCTTGGGGCTTGGGGTTTAGGGCCGTCTGCTTTTCTGAGTGTGTGCTCTCGCTTCTTCTGGTTGTCAGCTCACCTTGCGTTTTCCCTGTTGGTTTCTTATTTGTGTTCTGATGTTGCATTGTGTTTTCTGATTATTCCTCTGTTGTTTGCTGAGCTTGTTTATGGACATCCTCTAAGTAGTCTGCTTTCCTCTAATGTGTTTTCTGATTCCCTCTGTCTAGGATCGGTTTCACCCTCGTGCCCTGAGCCCAATATCCCGCCCTTGAGGCTACATGTGCGAGATGCGCGGCGACCTGAAATGTCACTGGGGTGCCTGGTGCCCAGACACCTGCGCTTGGACATTGCGCTGAGCTCGCTGCAACAGCAAGAACCCTAGATTTCACTGTCATGGGCCCTGTGCAAGGTCTGCTCCTCCTTGCTTGGGCGAGAAGGTCCGGATCAGGTTGGGCCCTACAGCCCAAAGCCGAAACCCCAAACCCTAAACCCTAGACCCTACCCAACCCCTAGACCCCAAAAACCGTCCGAGTAACTGTTTGCATAAACCCCAAACCCCGAAACCCTAAACCCTAAACCCCGAACCCAAATCCCAGACAGGTCCGAATCACCGGGCTCACCATCCTGCCGCCCCCGGGCAGCATGACCGGGGCTCGGAGCTGCTGCGTTGGAGCCTTTGTGCAGCCCCGGAGCTCAAGATGAGAGACTCTGAGTAGAAGCAAGCTGTTTGGGGTTTAGGGTTTAGGGTTTAGGGTGAAGGGTTTAGGGGTTCATATTTCACATACCCTGCATAATTGTTGCCTGTTAAGTGCTGTTATGATCATGAGAGGGAGCTGTGCAGCAAGCGACCGTACACAGTCGTTGGAGTCATGTCGCCTGTTGCGCCCTGCCCGATGCGCCGTCGGCCGGCTGGAGCCTTGGTAAGCCACACGCCTTGTGTCTGAATGTGGTCGGTTCTGCAAACGCTTGCTGAGAGATCCAACAGTTAAGGGCTCCAAGCAGTGTCAGACGGCCCCAATTGTTTCTAGGATCATGACTCTGCACTTGCGTGGCCGCCTTGCTCCTCCCAGTCAGCCATGCAGCAGCATCAATGCACGCCGCATAACAGCTTCTCAGCGTCGTCAGAGTGAGAACAAGCCAAAGGAGGAACTTGTCCCGTGCTATAGCAGCATAGCATCCCATTCCTGAACCCTTCAAGGCCTCACCCCACAGTCTGAAGCAGCGTATTCTAGCAATTCCACATAAGCTTTGCCCATTAAGAAATCACTTCTTGGCTCTCGGCCCTTTGTGGCCATGGAGTCTGTGCGACTCACCCAGCTCCGCGAGCGTGCGGCCGCACTGCGCGAGGAGCTCAAGGCGCAAGTCTGCACTGCTCGGGAGGGCTTCTTGCTTCGAAGAACCCTCGACCCTAAGCGAGTTTCCTGTGGTCCGGAGTCTTGAACACATGACCAAACCCAAACGCTCAAACACCGAATCCAAGGTCCCACAGCCTGAGCCTCCGTTAACCCGCAAGAGCCGTCAGCTCCAACATTGCTTTGCACCAGGAACCCTCAAATGTTATGAGCCCTGAGCCCTCAACAACCCTGTCTTTGATGCACTTCTTCATTGCTTTGGCTCCCTAGAAGCCCTGAAGCCCTGAAGCCCAAAACCCCTCAACCCGTGAACCCCCATACAAGCAACATTCGCAGGCTGTGGAGGCCAGGATCGATGAGGTCGTCAGCGAGGCGGCGCTGCCCGAGGCAGCGCGCTCGCTGCAACTTTTTTCTTCGGAGTTTTGCGGGGGAGTGTTGGGCTGAGGAAGTTTCGGAGACTTTCTGGACGTTTGCAGGATATGAAAGTGTTTCTGGATTTTGGTTTCAGGGTTCCTCGATTCAGCAAGGCCCTGAATCCCCCCGACACAGACCCCCTGTAGGAAGGAGTGGAGCGTCACCTTCACCATCGCCCAAGCCCCTTGCTGCAAGGGTTTAGGGTTTGGGCTTAGAACTTCAGGCTCTTGTATCGGTTTTAGTTTCAAGGGGATCGTGTGATTCGGTTTGTGGATGTGTGGGATGCGCCGGAACCGGGCTGCAATGTCCAAGCCTGCATTAACCTAAGCTTCACCAAGGTTGGTCCATGCTCGGCGGAAGCGAAGGGGCGCCCGCAAAGGTTCCTCTCTTTGTTGGGTCCCAGTTGTGGCTGCTTTGGTAAGCTGGCTGTCACCGGGTGAGGCATATTCATCTCAGTCCTTCCTGACAGCTCTACTGCAAGTCTGTGCTGGGATTTGGTGGCAGGACTTTCAGTCCTGCGGGATTGAAAGTGTTAAGAAGTTGCTATGGACTGCTCGACTGCCTTGAGCCGCACGAGGTCCTTCGCCAATTGGGCCCCGCGGATCAAAACTTGGAGGCGGCGGATTCATCGGGAAAGTACTGCAGATCAGAGCATCGGGAAAGTACTGCAGATCAGAGTGACAGAAGCTGATGTCGATTGCATCACATCTCTGTTGCAGGCAGTCCTGAGACAATTCCCAAAGCTAGATGTCGGTCCAATTGGCCGCTTGGATTGGTGGGGTAATTCATTTGCAAGTTTTTGGCTTCTTGCATGAGAGAACTCGGAGCTTGTGGGTCTCCGGAAACCTCATTGCAGTTATTCTGCCGTGAAGCTGATTCACGGGTTCTTGTGCGCGAGACTGCAATTGCCAGCCTTGTTGAGAGACTCTCCAGGTTCCTTCAACCACTGGGATCGCCGGGAGTGCGCTGTGCAGAATGTGGATGCGTGGCGAGAGTGTGGCTCGGCTGACTCCTTGAACCCTTCAGTTCCGCATCCTCTTTGTGGCTGCTGCTCAGGTTGCCAGCACTACATGCAGAGTTTGGGAGGAGTCGCCAAGAGCCCTTCCTTGAACATGGGAATTCCTCTCTGAAGGATGTGGCGTAGAGCACCTGGGTTCGGAGAGTAGGGCGCTGAACGTTTCCAGAGCTCCGGGTTCCTGCTCTTTCCCCATTCCCCCCCCCCCCCCCCCCCCCCAAAAAAAAGGTAAGAGGGTAACAAAAAGACCCCCCCCCCTCCTCTTCAAAAATCCCTTCAGAAAAGCCCAGGATCCCGAAGGTGATCCATCAGATCTGGGTCGGCCCCAAGGCTCTCTTTTGGGGAACCTTGGAACCTTTTTGCTGCTCTTTACTCTCTTTTCTTGGGGTGGTTTGGGCTCTTCGGGAACTTGCTGCTTGCTCTTTTTTGGAGGGCTTCAGGGGAATCTGCAAAAGTCTGTAAGGGCTCTGCGGGGGATCGCGGTGAGCTCTTTCTTTGGCTTGGTTTGGCCAGGAGCCGCCCTGCCTTTGGCTGGACACGTTCCGGGCGGACTACATAGAGGCGCAGTGGGGTGGGACGGCTGAGGTCATGGTCTATGTATGGTCTGAAATCTGCTCTGTAAACTGCAATAAGCTCTGTGGCAGTGCAGCCTTGGATGATCGCGTTTGTTGCAACTCCGCAGGCTCATCCAGACTGGCGCTATGAGCTTTGGAGCGATGAGAGGGTTGCCAAGCTGCCCATGTTCAACGAGAAGAGCCTTTCTCGCAATGGTCTGCGATCCGTTGTGGTGCCGTTTAAGTATTGTCTTCTCAAGACATACCTCAAGAAAGCAAACAACAGGGTATGCTGCGCAGACAGCTCTCTACATGAAGTTCTTATGCAAAAGTATGAGACATCCCAGCTCGCTTGAACTGCCAGCCATCATCAGGATCTACGTGGAGGAGAAGATGTGGCACCTGGCCTTAGTTTCAGGGCTTGCAGAGCATGTAGCAGAACGGTTCCGATAAGATTGGGCTTCTGCAGTTGTAGAGCTGAGCGCAACGATCCTCAATCCTAAGCCGTAAAGCTCCCAAATCCTAAACCTCGACCCCGAACCCCTAAACCCTACCCCCTAAACCCTAAGCCCTAAATCCTTGAGCCCCAAGCCCTGAACCTGTTTGTCGGCCCGCCGAAGAAGCGCCCGAGGCAGTGTAAGGCCGACATCCTCCGCCTGGAGTTCCTGTGGCACCATGGAGGCGTTTACGTGGATGCCGAGCCTTGGCATGAAGTTTTTTTTTTGGGATTTTGGTGGTTTTTGGTTCAGAGTTTTTGGGTTTTTGTTGCTTCTGGGTTAAGGGTTTATGGTTTTTGTTTCAAGGTTGAGGGTGGGTTTTCGGTTTTTGGTGCAGGGTTTGGGGTTTTTGATTCTGGGTTGAGGGTTCAGGGTTTTTTATTGAAGGTTGAGGGTGTAGGTGTTGTCCTTGCATCGACAGTGTCTTAATTCTTCCCGTTTGGCGAGTTAGATATGAAGTCTATATGTACTATAAATAGAAGATCTAGCTTAGGCTCCCTTCTGGGGTGTTACTTGAGAAGGACTTTCTTGCAACAGATCCTGGTATAGGATCACATGTAGATGAAGCGAACGCATCGCATACTTGCTTGCCTGCACACAGGGTCAGTTGTATGAATCATGGTTTTCCTTGCTGGGTACGCAGGGCAAAAGGCACCATTTTGTCAACACGGACCCCAAATGAACCTTATGTTGGAAGACTGACCGTTTGACTGGACATCTTCAGTGGCTGATTCTTCATAGACTGAGATGTGGGACACATCCCGGGAAAAATTCTCGACTTGGAGCATTGCTCTTGCTGAGGACATGATCTCCGTTGGGAAGAAATCCCTAAACCCCATCATCGAGCTGGGCAAGGCGGGACACCTGGGTCCCATGCGGACTTGCGTGCAGAAGCGTGGAGGGGGAGGGTGGGATGGGGGGGGTGAACCTTGCTTTTGAGACAGAGTCTGTTGGCCCGTCGCAATGGGGAGATGTTGGCCTAGAAAAAACAGTGTAAGTATGTGCTCAATCCTAAACACCCACAAGCCCCCCTCAGAAAAGAGAGAACAACCTCCGAAAGAGTCGGTTCCGGCTTCAAGGAGACTGGCTGGGTCATCGCTTACGAGCCCGACACCAAGGACAAGTGGCAGCCCCAGCGCACTGACCGTGTGTAAGCATTTCACCCGTGGCTTACTGTTTGTATGCGCCCTACATCTGCAAAAAGAGCTGGGGACGTCATCGTATCCTCGAACTTCGAGCCTTTTGCGACAGGTCCTCTAGCTTTGTGCGAGCTTGTGCAGGCCATACTCCATCCTCGGCAATTCCGAAGCTCGGTTGCAAAACTTCCCATAACTTTCCTGCGGAGCCCCAAAAGATCCCGGGAGAGCCTCCAGGAAGTCGCGGGTCACGCATTGCCCAGAAAGGGCCCAGAAAGTGCTGCGAGTTTGGCGCGCCGGCTACGCAGTTTGGCTCAGGTCATTGCTTGCACACCGCATCACCCCTTGACTTTGATGCTCATCCTCTTCCTCAAGCAGATGCTTGGCAGCACAGCGCCGACCGAAATCCTCGAACATTGCTCTATTCGTTTGTGCCTATCGTGCTTCCCTGAGCCCACGGGAAGAGGCGGAAGAAGAGGGCTGGATCCCCAGAGCCCCGCAGTGAGCGCCAGTGGGCCGAAGGACCTTCTATCAGAAGCGCAACCACATCGAGGTCTTCGCCGTGACAGGTCCTGTGATGTACACGAAGTGCCTCGTCGACAGTCGCCTGGTTGCACTAGTTCGCCACCAGCTGTTGCAATAGCTATAAGACTATCAATAGCTACGGACCACCCCT